TAGGCTCGACAATGGTCGTACTGTTACCCAACTCTTCTTCCATCTTCGCAAAGGAGGACGAAAAACGATGGTACGGCGATGATATCCCAGCCACACGTTGACCGGAGCTTTCACCATTAAAGCTACGCCTGGGACGAAAAATGTCCCATTGTTTGCTCTCTGGGTTAAACAAAATGCCCATGCGTTGCAGTGTAACGATGTACAAGTCCGTTGTGTGATTCTCCGGTAACCGTATCCCCACACCAGGAAGAGGCAACACCACGTCCGAAAAGGTATACTTACCCTTGTCGATGCCACTCTTTGACGCAAAGACAACGTTTTGATATTCTTTTGAATGGGGTGAAGCCAATGGGTTTCGACGCACAAGATCACCTGGAAGAACCGCAAATGTCCCGTAGCGCTGAAAGCGTTGATTGACAATATCATTCCAAACAAACGCAAGGAACTCATGCACCAACATCAGACATGCGTTCGGACCAACAACACGCAGGAACGCTTCTTCACAGGGGTCAATCGAGGATCCTTTTTCCTCATCCTCTTCAAGTAAAGTCGCCGCCTGCAGGGCGCTGTCAAGAATCGACTGCAGCGCCGTGCCGTGCTCTGCGATGGAGCGTCGCTTCGCATCTAATTTTATGCGGTCTGGAATTCGAAATCCCATCGCCTTGGAGTGGTACATCTTTACAAACCCTGCACCGCGACGTCGCTTCTCAGCCGCAATATCAGAGTCCATGTAAAACTGCTGGACGATGATGTTTGCGGCAGCACGAAACTCTCCTTTAAGAAGGTGAAGCCCCGGATGCATGTTTTGTTTCGTGTACGATGCGAAACGCTGCGGGCCAAAATAATTAATAAAACCCTTTTCCTCCAATGATTGCATGGCCGGTTTCACAAGAGGGAGGTGATTTTGTGGAATACAACGCAGCCTTACGCGGTAGGCATAACCATCATTGTCGCCGACCCGGAAGTCATAGGAGGCGCTTTCCACCTCCATATCCACGCAAAGGAACTCAAACAACTTCTCTGGGCTCATCTTAGCGGCAACTTCGTCAAGCGTCACGGAAGAGGCTCGTTTGGTTTTGGATTTCTTCTTTCGCGACTTCTTGCCTCTTGCTGTCGTGTCCTCTGCGTCCTC